AGCCCCGGGGAGATTTCCCTCTCAGCCAGTGCTGCTCCTCTGGAATCTTTATTGTTATTTTATTTATTTGTCTTATTTATAGGCCGCCTCTCTCCTGAAAAGCAGGAGATTATTCGAGGATTCTGACTCATTTCCCTGATTAACCCTGTGCCCCATCCAGATTCCTTGGTTCTCTTTCTCCAGTCTCTGATTCCAGGTTTTTTTTTAAAGAGCTGCTTCTTCCAATTCATCATCATCATCATCATCATCATCATCATCATCATCATCATCATCATCATCATCATCATCATCATCATCATCTATCATACAGACTTAGGCCCACTGCAGGAATGGGGACTTGGTGAGCCATCTTCTCTGCATTGGCTCTGTGCCATTAAAAGCAACATTTACGCTACAGCACTCTTAACTGTAGCAGGCTCCCCAGTGCAGTGGTTAAACTGCAGTAATGCAGTCAAGCCTCTGCTCAAGACCTGAGTTTGATCCCAACAGGTTCAGGAAGCCAGCTTAAGGTTTCCATCCAAGACCAGTAAATTGAGACCCAGCACATGGGAGGTTGGGAGGGGGGGGGTTAGTCAAAATGTTTCTTGCATAATTATGTTGTAAAATGCTCAGAGAATGCTGTAGAACTATAGGGTGGTATATAAGTCTAATCATTCATTCATTAAGCCAGTCAGTCAGTCAGTCAGTCAGTCAGTCAGTCAGTCAGTCAGTCAGTCAATCAATCAATCAATCAATCAATCAATACTGTATCTGTGTGCCTCTAAGTTTGCTGTCACCTAAAATACCTCTAGCAGATTTCTATTTATTTATTTATTTATTTATTTGTTTGTTTGTTTGTTTGTTTGTTTGTTTGTTTGTTTATTTATTTGCTATTCTAGCAGAATGTGCAGTAAGAATACTGGAAAATGTATCTTTATAGTTTTCAGGAGTTCTCTGCTGCAACTCACGTGAGTACACTAGAGCGCTCTAGAACCGAATTCTAGGTATCTCAACAAACTACACATCTCAGGATTCCACAGTTAGAGGTACTATCTAATGGGCACTAAATACACTCGCTGTTGTGGAATCCAGAGCTAACCCAACATATTCTGTTTTGAAAGCAGTACATGTGTACCTGCTCTTTTCTTTTTTCACAAGCAGGATCATGCCCTTTGTATAGCTGTATGCGAGGGGCAGGACAGACTTCACAGCCAAGAAGGATTACAACTCTCGAAATCTCCAAGTCTGACCATTCTAGGCACCGCAGTTAAAAAACAAAAACAGAACATTGGACTTTGCTTTTCCCTGAGTTTGGAACACCACTTTTTAAAGGAACTCACTGTGTTAATGATTACTTCTCAACAGCCAAGTTGTCATGACTGTTGCTCCAGTTATGCTGCAAATAGGGTATGTTGCATGTTATTAATGCAACCTCTTGCATTGGTATTACCAGCAGGACAGGGAAAATAACAAACATCCCTCTCTGTTTCCCTCTAGTGGCCAATTCTGATATTGCACCTTGGAAATAGTTGTACAAAGACAAAACTCAACAATACTTACCTTGCCACTCTTGATTGATGAATGTCCCTAAAGATGACCTTTAAAATAACTTTTGAAAGTAACTCTTTGTAAGTTACTTTGGTATCGGAAATAACTAATTATAAGCAGCTACCTTTGGCTTTCGCATGTTTCAAACTAAAGATCTCAGAATCCCTTACTGGTAGCCACTTTCTGGGGGTTAAAGTCCAAATCTTTTGTGGCTAAGCACAATTCTAGTCTGAAGTCCAACAGAGCCATTGAGATGAACCGACCATACTAGCCAACCAAGTTACCATTGATCTCAATTACTGTACTCCTATCTGGGGCCTTGGAAAAGTCCTTGATTGTTAGGAAAGTGTGAGGGCAAAAGGAGACGGGGACAACAGAGGATGAGATGGTTGGACAGCGTCATTGAAGCAACCAACCTGAATTTGACACAACTCCAGGAGGCGGTGGAGGATAGGGGGGCCTGGCGTGCTCTGGTCCGTGGGAGGCGGGGGGGTCGGACACGTCTAAACAACGATCTGGAGCCACATTCGGATTTAGCCCCACAGAAAAATAAAGGCCCTCCACTCTGAATGGACGAGTCCATGAAGGATTGGAACTGCAGCGCAACTTCCATCTCCCCCAGCCAAAAGCTATTGATGACAGGTGATGGGCTTTGTAGTCCAATAATTGGAAGACCACACCTTGACAATTCCTGCCCTGATATGAGCCTGCAGGTTGCTGCTTATGCACTTCTAAGGCAAAGAGTCTCACCTGTTGACCTCCAGGTGTTCTTCTGGACTTCCACCTTCCAGAAAGCCCTACCCAACACGGCCCAGCGTCAAGAATTCAGAGTTGGAATTCTGGAATTCTGGAAAGCCACCATCTGGTGCAACTGTCATTTTTAAGCCTGATTTGAACCCGCATCCAAGCAGGCAGAGAGCCTCTAAGTATACATAAACCATACATGGCACATCCTTTGGAGAAGGTCTACAGTTTTTGTAAGCAGACACCTCCTTTGGATGCAGATCCCTCCAGATGTCTTCAGCATCTGCAGGTAGGGCTTTGAAACATCCTGTCTGAAACCCTGGAGAGCTGCCACTCAGCGGATGGATCAATAGTGCGACTCAGGATAGGATAGCTGACACATTTCGGCCAAGCCCCCTCCCCTTCTTCACCCCTGATGATGATTGCAGCACACCCTAACCCCAGCTCAAGCTTCTTCCAGGTATGCTGGGACTCAGGAGGGGTGTGTTGCAATTTCCAGATTCCCAGAGTGGGTGTGTAACCCTGCAGGCAAACTGGCGCTCCTTTCTGTTTTCAGAAACCGAACCAAATCAACCAAGGCATTTTGCTAGCAGCCAAGGTATCACCCAGGTCTGGTGGGTGTGGGAGATCAACTTTCGCCCTGGGTGTAGGCACTGTCTTATCATTCGGGAGTGGAAGAGCCGTAAAATGGGGGTGGGGGTCACATCATGCTATGTGTTTTTTTTGGCAGGACTGAATGGGTTTAAGCATGGTGGGACCTCCAGATGCAACCCCCAGATTCCCCCTGCCAGCGATGGGAATCACAGACCTTGCGTCTCCAGGTGCTCTTGGGACTAAAACTCCCAGAAGCCTTTGCCACTAGCTGTGCTGGCCAGGATTTCTGGGAGTTGTAGTCCAAGAACATCTGGGAGCCAAAGGTTGGGAGGCATGGCTCTAGATCAGTGGTTCCCAATGTCGGGTCCCCAGAGGTACTTGGACTACATCTCCCAGAAGCCTTTGCTACTCGCTGTGCTGATCATGATTTCTGGGAACTGTAGTCGCAAGGTTGGGAACATCTGCTCTAAAAAAGTAACTGAGCGGACAAGAAAGGAAGCATGCTTGTTCCGTGCAAGAGAACAGCATTTTACATTTGCTTGTGCGCCAAGCCTTAACATCAATCAATGACATTGACCTGCACCATGTAACTCCATTCTGCAGGAGACCAGGACAGCAATGTGTTGAACCTGAGGACCCGCTCGAGGTGGACATGGGAGTGTTGCATTCAAGCATGTGTGTGATATGCAGTCAGGTCGAAACTGAGTTTTAGCAACCTTAACAGGGCTTTCCAGGGAAGTGAGATGTTCAAGGAGCAGTTCTGCTTGTTCTATTGTTGGGGTTCCATAGCTGAAAGGGATTCCAACTTGGGTCTCCCATGTCATTGTCTGTCCCTTTATCTGCTACACCACACAGCGTAATGGATCCAAGATTCAAACTTTCAAGTCCTCTCCTAGCCGTCAAGAGTGGAGGGATAATGACGTCCTTGTGACATGCCATCAAGCTAAACCCAACTGACAGCAATTCTAACAGGCTTTTCAAGGTAAGTGAGATGTATTTAATGAGTGGTTTTACCAGTCCCATCCCTCCAGTGGGTTGCTGCGCCTGAACAGGGCTTTGAACCCTGATCTTCTAGGTCCTAGTCCGTCACTCTGTCCACTACACCACACTGGGAAGCAGGCGCCTAGCCCATAAAAGGTCTAAGGTGGCATTCCAGAATCAGAAGACCTTGGACAAGGTCCACCTCCAGGAGGAGAGGCTCAAAAGAAGACCCGGAAAACGGAGGAGGTTGGATGGAGCTGAGCTCTGCTTCCAGGCACTCCACCTCTCTGCCCACGTGAGCATCGGCCGCCACCGATCCTATGTGATCCATCTTCAACCCCTTCACCCAGGAGAAAGGTGACAAACCAAAATGGTTTGTTGGTTTGTTGCCAAACTGTAACAAACCAACAAATAAATAAATAAACCCTTGGCCACCAGATTTTGTTGGGCGATATTGAGATAGCCCCATGCTCTCCTCCTTGCTGAGTTACTGGTTTCAACTGGACATTCAGGTTTCGGTCTTTCGGACTACAAAGCCCACCACCTCTCATCAATGGTGGCGGTATAGCTTGGGTTTTTAATTTCTTGGTTTTCTATGTATATCTTTGTGGGTGGTGTTGGGCTGTGCTATTTTAATTGTCGTTAGCCGCCCAGAGTAATTTATTTATTTTTATTTATTTATTGCATTTATATGCCGCCCATCTAGACATAGTCTACTCTGGCACTAGATGGGGGGGGATATAAACAAACAAATAAATGATTGTGACAATCAAATGGCGAAGAGATCCATGCATGCCACCTTGGAAGAAGAAGTGTAACGCATACAAAAACTCACGAAGGGGACCCAACGTAGCTAATTCCAGAGAACAGGCCGGAGGTGAGATTCGAACCAGCAACTTCCTGATCCTTAAGCCGAGGCTCTGAGCTGCCCCGATCAGCCCCTCCCGCCTCCCCCGCTCCGCCAAGGTCTTTGCGCCCCAGTCGTTCCCGAAAGACGCGGAGGCGCGCCTGGAGGCGCTGGCAAGGCGCCCGGCGCTCCTTCCGGGGACTAGGAAACCCAAAATCCCCCGAGGACGTGGCCAAGCTCGAAGCCAGCAGCCCAGCTCCCGTCCCTGCCAAAGTCACCCACCCACCCACCTGGGTTCAACGCTCACCTTTCGGGCTCCGCGTTTGGCGAACTCGCGGGCCAAGAAGCGCCCAATGCCTCGGCCTCCGCCGGTGATCAGCACGCTGTCGCCGGACAAATCCCGCAGCCTGGTGGGCAGCACCGAGCACACGACCGCCTTCACCACCAGCGCCAGCAGCTGGATCACAAACAGCAGCACCGCGCCCGGCCATTTCCAAACCATGCTTGGCGTTCCTCCAGATCAGCGCCCTGCGCAAAAGGAGACCCAGCGCAGCCCGGGATCCCTCTGCCTCTCCTTGTGTTTTAAAAAAAAAAAGTGGGGTTTTTGGGATGTCTCCCCTAAAGAGCGGGGCAGGAGGCACGCCAAGCTTCTCCAAACACCCACCAAGAAAAAAAGTTGACTCGCGCAAAGCTGCGCAAAGTTCCGCAGGAGGCGCTCCCGCGGGCGCCGTCTCCCTTCCTGGTTCGCCGCGCTTGGCGCAACAGCGCGTGCAGGGCCTTTTTTTAAAAAAATAAATAAATAAATTGGAAATATATAGTGGGTGGCAAGCTTTAGCTCCGGAGGCTGCCAAAGGCAGAAAAAACAAAGCGCACTGAGGTTTCTTTTTATATATAAAAAAGTAAATTTCCAGGCTCGCTGGAAGAGACGAATGCGGTCTCTTTTTGCAAAGAGGGTGGGGGTGGGGGGGTCCCTTCAGAGGGGCTCTCGATCCTGCCCTTCCCCTCGGCGGCTGCTCCTCGTTCTCCTTCTCCAAGGCAGGCAGACGCTGGATCGCTCCTGCGGGCGACGGCGGGTTGGGAAGCCGGCCGCCTGCGCCAGCCAGCCTCCTGTCCTGTCTATTTCTGGAAACTCCAGGAAATTGCTTGGGAGAAAGGAAGGCTCTTTTTTTGTGGTGGGGGTTTGAGGGGTTCAAGGCAGCCTGCCTGGGTCCCTCCCCTTTCTATACATCCAGAGCTGCAGATTTCTGCGCCGCCACCCCCAGGCCTTTTTTTTTTTGGCTTGCGCAAGGGCAAGGCAGAAGAAGCCAAACTGCTTGCTCGCTCCGGATCGACGCCACGCACCCCTGCACGGTCTCTTTGTAACCTCTGGCTGGCCCTCCCCAAGTTCCCCTCTCTGTCTCTCGTTCGCCCTCCGGGCAGGTTTTATATCCCTATTAAGCCTGATTGGCAGCTGAAGTGTTTGGGGAGGGAGGGGGGAGAGGCGGAGGAGGAGGAAGAGGAAGATGAAGGAAGAGCGGTCTCCCTCCGGTCGCTGGCGAAGCGAGAGCTCTCCTCCGTCCTTCCCTCGTCGCGGCTCGGCAAGCAAAAAAAAAAATCTTCCTGGCCAAGATTTCACTCGTTTTGCAAGTCCAGACTGGCTCTCTGCGTGCCACCCAGGGGCGGCGCGGCTGTAGTTCCAGGGACTTTGTAACTGAGAGCCAGAGACGGCGGCAGGAGCCAAAACTCCCTTCTCCGCCTCTTTTGGAAACGACAACCGGCGAGGAACGAACTACGAGAACGTCGTTCCGTGGAATTACTTCTGGGGGGGGGGCTCCGGAGGGTGTGGCCAGGTCTGGTTTGGAAGCAAAGAGGCCACAAATATTTCCAAGTGAATATTGCCTTGGTTGGTCCTCTCCCCTCACGCTAAATAAACGTCCTGTGTCATCCAAAAGGCTAGTAGGTCGTATTTGGCATATGCCTCCGTGGCGCGTAGCCCCGCACGTTCGAGACGCAGGACCCCGCCAGCAGGCGGGCATCGGGCATACAGGAGCCTGCTCGCCTACAGACCCAGAAAGCTTATGCCCAATTCATCCGGGACGCTGGCAAGTCCGTGGCGCAAGTCGGAGGCTGAGGCTTTGGCCCCCAAGTCCGAGTCTGGAGGCGGAGTCCCGAGTCCCGTGACTCGAGTCCCCCCCCCCGCATCCTTGCAATTTAGCCCCTAGGTCGGAGGCATAAAACTTGCTCAGATGCATCTGAAGAAGTGAGCTAAACTCTCCCAGTGCCAAGGAGAGTTACTTATTAGAAAGAAAGAAAGAAAGAAAGAAAGAAAGAAAGAAAGAAAGACGGCCCAAGGAAACTCTGAAAAACCCTCTTTTGGGAGGGGGCGAGAGGGAAGCGTTTTGACTGCTGCAAAAGAAGGCTCATTGGGAGGAGGCTAACCTCCGGGTTTTGGGGGAAACAGCCGTCCCAGGTTGGTCTGTACTCTTTAGAAGAATCATCCCAATGTAGCCTCATTCTTTAACAAATGCTCCAGGTCCCCTGTGGGGTGGGGAACGGGGTGGGAACAACCTAAAAGAGCTGTAATTAAAAAAAAACAATAATCAAGTAATTTAAAGTGTTAGTTATTCTGGACTGTGTGCAATGGGAACTGGTAGCTCATCAAACTCTGTCATGAATAAAAGGAACAAACTATTTTTCAAAAACAAAAGAATCATTCTCTTATGTCTTAAAAACCCACTTATGCACTAAGAGTAACACATCAACCCCCAGTAGGCACACAGGATTTTTCTGAGCTGGGTCCAAAGGGAGAGAGCGGGAGAGGTATCAAAGTCCAGGTTCCCTTTTTTTCCCCTCCTACACAGTATGACTGGCCCAGTTGCTCAAGACTAGCCACGACGACAGCCGCCTGGAAAGGAAGGATTTCCCATTATAACCCAGCCGGCGCTGGCAGTTGGCCACGTTGGCAGTGAGGGGAGAAGGGGAACTTGTCTTTTATTCTCACACTCTCCCAGCGTCTTGAGACAAAGGTAGACTGCCGCCGAACATGGGGGTTCCACTTTGCAGTGCTTTATACCAGGCGTGTTGCCATAAATCTTGGGGGGGCGGATCAATATTTGCTCCTCCTAGTGGCATTGAGGTCATGCCAGCTATTATGACTTTTCCCTTGGTGGCTTTTCCCTTGAGAATGCAGAGTAGGGCATGTAACAAAACACAGAATCGTAGAACAATGGAGTTGGAAGGGGCCTCTAAGGCCATTAAATCCAAACCCCTGCCCATTACTGTAATCCAGATCAACCCAAAACAGAAGATTGTCCAGTTTTCTCTTGAATGCCTCCAGGACTGGAGCGCTCGCCACCTCCTGAGGTCATGGGTTCCGTTGTCGTACTACTCTAACAGTTGAGAGGTTTTTCCTGATAGTCAGCCTAAATCTGGCTTCCTGTCGCTTGAGCCCATGATTATATGTCCTGCACTCTGGGACGATCGAGAACAGATCCTGCCCCTCCTCTGTATTTGAAGAGTGATATGATATCTCCCTTTAGTCTTCTTTTCTCAAGGCTAAGCATGCCCAGTTATTTCCGTCTTTCCTGTAGGGATTTTGCAGTGTGTTAAAGGCAAAAATCTACCGTCTGGAGGCTTCCAGGAGAGGAAATTGCCGTTTTTAAGCGTCACCATTATGTTTCAGACAGGAAACGTCAAGGGGGAATCATGGAGGGGGGGCAAGGTGGTCCATAAGAAAGCCCCCCCCCACACACACACTTTGGTTCAGAGACTTGAAGCAGCTTTAGCATTTGGGCCCCATCCAGCAACTGCCACTCAAGTCCAAACAAAGACCTCAGGGAGCCATCAGCCCTACGTTTTCCAAGCCCGGGCGAGGGCGTTTGTGTGTGGGGTGGGGAGGAGCACAAAGGGAACACTGTGGCAGGATTTACCCACTCGGCAGCATGAATGGGCTTTTTCATGCCTCGAGCGGCGATTAGCCGCAGCAAAACGGAGGAGCTCTTGGTCCTTTAATCTCCTTCTCATGTCAAGGCTTTAGGTCCGGCCGGGGTGACAACACTGGTTATACAGTCTCCGAAAGCTTTCTGGGTGAAGGGGAAGCAATGTCGCAATCAGCTCTGTTTGCTTGGCGGCTCTGGACAGTTCCTTAGGAAGGACATTCCCCCCCCTCCTTTCGCCACCCTCGGCTAATCTTGGCTGCCATAAATTCCTCCAAACTCTGCTGTCTTTTCTTACGTCCCTCCATGGACCGGACATCTGGACAGTTGCGTAAGGTACACTGAAGACATACGTTGAACTGCTGACTTCAGCTCTCTCTGTCTTTCAGCCCCAGAGGGGTGATATTCTACACCTTGAAAGCCAATTTTGAGGTGGGCTACTTCTTGTCCATAAAGGACATGGTGGCGCTGCGGGTTAAAGAGCAGAAGCCTCTGTGCTGCAGGGTCAGAAGACCAGCTGTCGTAAGATTGAATCCACACGACAGAGGGAGCTCCCGTCGCTTCTCCCAGCTCCTGCCAATCTAGCAGTTCGAAAGCATGTAAAAATGCAAGTAGATAAATAGGGACCACCATGGTGGGAAGGTCACGGTGTTCCGTGTCTAGTCGCGCTGCCACGTGACCACGGAAACTGTATTTGGACAAACGCTGGCTCTACGGCTTGGAGACGGGGATGAGCACCATCCCCTCGAGTCAGACACGAGTGGGCTAAATGTCAAGGGAACCTTTGCCTTCTTTTCCAAACACTGACATCTCAACCTCTCTCTGATTTCTCCATGCACACTCACAAAATCCGATATTAACCTTGACCAACCAGCTTGGCTTCCACCATAGCGATAGACTAGGTTTTGGGCTCCAGTTTCCAGGATTCCCTTTCCAGAAGGCAGAACTCTGCACACTTCTGCACACGGGGACAAAATGACAGTCCAGAAAGACACCTTCTATCAAACACATTTTATTTATTTATGTTTGTTTAAGATATTTATATGCCATCTTTCTCCTAATGGGACCAAGAAGGCTTATGGTATTTTTTAAAAAAAATAATACAGAGTTGAAAGCTAAATAAGATGTTATTACAATATTTTTTAAAAAGCATTGAACAGATATCATATTCAAAACTCACAAATAAGAGCAATACAGTATTAAAAACACAAGCAGAACAACAGAATAAAATGATTCCTTTTGAAAATCGCCCTGGTCAACCAGTCGTTTAAAGGAAAACCTGCCTGAAGAGAAAGATCTTTGCTGGACAGCCACTGTGATGTAGTGAATAGAAAGATGGACTCAGGAGTCTTGGGTTTGAATCCACGCTCAGCCATGGAAGTACACTGGGATTGTAGAACAGGTAAAATCACTCCTTAAATATTCCACTCACCTTGAAAACCCTGTTCAAGGTCATTTTAAGTCCCTTCCTACTTGACAGCAGATCCTGTGTTTGCACAGCTATATATGTTTGCACATATATTTTTAAAGCAAAAGTTTTATGAAAATAATTTAAATGCAGCATCTGGGAAAAGTATAAGTAGGAGAAGAACCCTATCTTTTAGTATCAGCAAATGCTAAGAAATGTTCCATGGTTTTCAAAAACGTCTCCCCTTGCAATCCACCGTACTGGGAAGCCATCTAGTGGTGACTGTTTATATACAGGAATAGTAGTAGAAATAAGAAGGCATTTAATTGCAGGACGATTGTAAAAAGGACATTTTAGCTGTTTACACCAACACGTTGCAGCTGGATAATTTATCAGAACTGCATTCTGCTTGAACGCAGGCATCTGAACCATTCCCTAAGTGTCCTGCTAAGATAAGCTCAGGTATGCATAATATAAACAAGCTCTTTAGCAGCGTTTGATAAGTCCCATCTCTGAACCACGAGAACACACCAAGCAGCTTTGCTTAGCCAAACAACCAAGTAGCCAGTAGGTTAACATGGAAAGACCCACAGCTCCTCTAAATACTGCACCCAACATTCAACCCCCATAGAGTTGAAGGATGCCGTAAACTGTGTGTTGCAATCTCTTAATGCCCCCCCCCCAGTTTTTGCCTTGCCATTTGACCATCAGGGAGGATAATTTTGAAGCCAGCCCCGCTAAAGTTTGCTACAGTATTTATTTATTCAATGTATATACCGCCCATGTACCAAAATGCTACTCTAGGTAATGTACAACACATTAAATGTGTACATTATACACTTCTATAGTAGGCCATCCCAGATATAAATCATAAACCAAGACAGGCGGTGAAATAATTTACGGGAGACGCTACAGTCCTACGTGATTCCTCCCTTCGATGCCCCCACTGTTTGGGGAGATTCTCCCAAAAGCCTTCTTCAAATAGATCTAAATAGATGATTTCTTGTATCCCTAGTTCATGGCCTCTCCCAATTTGAAGAGACCCTTGTCCAGCAGGCCAAGGCAAAGAGGCAGTCCCGAAACCAGCAAAACCAGGGAGCTGGACAAGGGACAGATTGTATTTGTCTTCAATTTGTCTTCATTGTTCCAAGACCTCTATTCAGAGTATTGTACGTGACCATAGTCTCTCAAGACTGAAGGATGCCTAATCTAATCTAAACTGGTGCATTGTAAGGAATAGAACGCACCAGCAGTACAAGCACATGCACAACAATATACAACACACATAACTTGTTTCTACACACACACACACATACATCTTGGCCTAAAAGGGACATCGGAGAATTCCAATAAAATCAGTCACCATCAGAAGAAAGCCTGCTGTGTGGTGCGGCGTTA